TGGGTGATAACCAACCTCAATCATACTACTTCATAATTATTACCCTAATATTTACTGAGGCCTAAGCTACTGAATTCTTCCAAACAATAAAAATGTCGCACACCAAGAAAGCTACTTTCAAATACAATTCAGGTCAAATAGGCAACACCTTGTACAAGAGAAAAAACAAATAATTCAGTAAGTAATTCTAATTCAGTAAGAAATATTACCAATTAAAAGAAGCTATCTTCTTTACTTAAAAAATGCAAGTTGTCTAGAAATTAAATGAAAACTTGCTGGCATGCATTACCTTCTCTATCTAGGTTCTTTGAGACTCACAAGCCACAGAGAAAATAAATCATCTCGGTTCCACTTAAACATCTTTGTCTTAAAATTAAAAAAGAAAACAGGGGCACCTGGTGTCTCAGTCAGTTACAAGTCGGACTCTTGATTTTGGCTCAGGTTATGATCTCATGGTTGTGGGATCGAGGGGCTCTGCTCAGTCAGCGGGGAGTCTGCTTGGGATTCTCTCTCTCTCTCCCCCTGCCCTTCCCCCTGCTTGTGCGAGCTCTCTCTCACGCTCTCAAATAAATAAATAAGGGCACCTGGGTAGTTCAGTCAGTTAAGTGTTGGACTCTTGCTTTCGGCTCAGGTCGAGATCTCAGGGTCATGGGATGGAGACTTGGGTCAGGCTCCGCACTGAGTGCTGAGGCTGCTGAAGTTTCTCTCTCTCCCTCTCCCTCTGCTCCTCCCCACCTCATACACTCTATAAATAAATAAATAAATAAATAAATAAATAAATAAATAAATAAATAAATAAATAAATCTTTAAAAAATAAAGAAAAATTTGGGCTACAAAATAAATGAAGTACATTTGGATTATAATCCAAAATGTAAAATAGATACCCATGAATCCATATTGATATAAATAAATGGTTAAATAAATGAGGGAGAAGAGACAAATCTCCTATGCAGAAAATTTCCAAATAATTTATGTAGATATTCTACCCACAAGAAGATGAAGCATAACTCTGCACTTCTTGCATGTGGGTTATACAGAGTAACTTCCTGCCAAAGAGTAGAGTGTGGAAAGTGGGCAAAAGAATAACGTGTCAGTGGAAGGGCTGACAAACAACGCCTCAGCCAGGTGATCAAGGTCAACATCAATAGTGATGATTCATGTTAATAGTATACATCTTTGAGATAATGCTCTGAGAGATGATGTGTTGAGAATGGTACTTTACCTTTATAATCTTCTTTCCAAAAACCCATAGCCCCAGTCGAATTATGAAAAAAGATGAGACAAATCTCAATTGAGAGATGGTCTACAAAATACCTGACTAGCACTCCTCAAAACTGTCAAAGTCATCAAAAACAAGATAAGTCTGAGAAACTGTCACGGCCAAGAAGAGCCTGAGACATGACTAAATGGAATATGGTATCCTGGATGGGATCCTAGAACACGAAAAGGACATTGGGTAAAAACTAAGGAAGTCTTATTAAAATATAGGTTTTAGCTTGAAAAAAGAAAACAATATACATTCACAAGTCTCTTAAATCCTTTGAAATGAGCTAAGTGAACCAGGAATAAAATATACTATTTTCATTCATTGATTTTTCCTTTTTCTAGCACAGGTGACTGGCTAACTCAACATAAAATCACTACAAATAATTGAGAGATAGCATTTGAGGAAAACATTGAAGCTATCAACACTGTATCTTCATAAGGGGTTTTAAAAGTTTACTGATTTAAATAACAATAGTAACATTTGTAAGTGATTCGGAAAAGCAAAAAAAAAAAAAAAAAAGCTCAGGGGTCTCAACTACCCCTTAGAAATTGCTTTCCTGGGATACCTGGGTGGCTCGGTCAGTTAAGCATCTACCTTCAGCTCAGGTCATGATCCTAGGATCCCGGCATCCAGCCCTGCATAGAGCTCCCTGCTCAATGGGGAGTCTGATTCTCCCTCCCCCCGCTCATGTGTGCTCTCATAAATAAATAAAATCTTCTTAAAAATATATAAAAATTAAAAAAAAATAGAAATTGTTTCCTGTGGAACTCTTCCCAGTGCAAACACTTACAGAAAAATAAGTTTACTTATTGACACTTTTACTTATCCCTTACTATGTATGAGGAACCATTATAAGGCTTTTATATATATTAAGTCATCTAAGTCTCATATCATTGTCATTTTTATTAATTATCTCCATGTACTAATAAGGAAATTGAGGCACTTAGAGGTTAAGTAACTTGCCCAGTAACCAGACTAGTAAGTGATAGAGCCAGTTTTTTAAACCTAGGCACTGTGTTTCCAGGGCATGGGCATTTTCTAGAGGGGCTACATATCATCCCCACTTCTTTCTCCTTAGGGCTCTTCCTGAGCCGTTGGAAGTCTGCCCTGAACACCTCCCTTGCACCACGCTGAGTGTCCCTTTTGTCGGCCACCACCACCGCCAGGAAAACTCTACAGGATTTCTGAGGAGGCAGATCAGTTTCTTGTCCGTAGTAGTTGAGTTCTCCAGGAAGCCCATTCTGGGCTAGTTTCGCATGTGGAATGTTGATTACAGAGTTCCCTCAGTAGCAACACCTGGAGAAGAGAGATGGATAGCACAAATAGGCAGAGGGAGAAGTCAAGTTGTCATGTTGTCATGCAGGCCCAACCAACCTCAGCAGATGCAAAAAGACTCTGGGTCTACAATGCCCCTCAAAGCCACCTCGAGGTGGGCCAAGACAGCCAGGCTTTCATTAATTGCACAAGTTACCCGATGGCCCTACCTAAGACCTGCCACGATCAGCATAGAACAAACAAACACTTCAGTCCCCTCTATAGGCATGCCTATTCCAAAGCGTGTGTGCTGCACTCCCCGGGGGCAGCTTTGCCCAAGCAGAACCCATTTGGCGTAGGTAGTAATCAGAGTGATTTCATCCAACAGGTATCTCTCTCTCTCTACCTAAGTGTCAAGCGTGAAGTTTGAAATTCCACCATTAGAAATTCATTCTTTTTTCTATTTTGAACCTTTTTTGTCATCAAAACACTCTCACCAAATTGCAAAAAAAAGCCCTTCAAAAAAGGCAATATAAACCATTTTCAGCTACTCTTGGTGGAACTTAATTGATTGTAGCTGTAAGCAAAGAACACTTTGAAAGAGAAATGGGACACTAAAAGAAGAAGTAAGAGGGTGCCAAAAAATAAATACTACCTTAATTCACAGGTTTACTGACAATCAACTCTGCCCCCTAGTAACAAAGAAGTTACTCTCTTCTCTTTACCTTCGTGTCATTTTAGTGCCCTCAGGACTCTAGAAAATAACATAAGGAAATTTCATGGAGCATCATATGTTTCATAATCACATTGTAGTGCATAAGATGGAGTCTAATTATTTCTTTGAAACTAATCTCTTCCCAGTTGGACAATGTTTATTCATATGTAGACCTTCTTGATTTCTGTTGCATAATGCCAGGAGAAATATGCCTAGAGATATTCTTAACACAGACTTTAGTCCTAGGAGATCATGGGTTCCCACAAATATAACTAAGGATTTAATATGTGCCCTTATATTTATGGATGTCAATGCAAGATAAAGATGTGAAAATTACTAGAAACCAATTTACAGCAGCTGAGGCAAATTAGGGCTTTAAGGCTCATCAAAAAAAAAAAAAAAGAAAGAAAGAAAGAAAGGAAGTAATGAAATAACCAGCTCTAGGCAAGCCATATGTGCCATCCCAATTCTTTATTAATGGAAGTGTAACTATATGTTAAAGGGAATTTAGTTCCTATGGCAAAGATGCCAGTAGTGATATGCATAGATTGTAACTATTCTCAAGGTGAGGTATCGAAAAATTGTACAGTGATTAAAGGCAGTTTCTACAGTGACCTATATTCACAGGTGTGAAAGACCTCTACATTATTCTCGACAGTGCCCAAAACTCAGTGTACTCTTTGAAATTTGGGGAAATGATACATTTTATTTTGCCAGTATTAGAAAACTTAATTATCTACAAAGAACATTCAAAGTAGTTGGCATATATATACCTTGACTACAACTGAGATTTTTAGCAATTACCACAAAGGTACCAAAGCTTGAAACATTGGTAGTATGTCAAAAGCTATCTTCTTCTAATACTAGTAATAATCTATCAGGGGTCACAATTTCCATATATGTTATGATAAATTGGTTAGAGAATGTGGCATCTCTGAACAAAAATGAAGATCCAAAGGAATTTTCTGCTCAGATAATACCAAAAATGACCGTTGAAATGAACAAATCATGTACCAGTTTTTATCAGTGTATAACAGAGATAAAGGAGATATACAGCAGGCATGTCACAAAGGTCAACTTGACCTCACCAAGTTTTAGGGAGTTGGATTATGACTCATAAGCCTTGCACAACTCTTAGAACAGGTCCACGCATTTCAGAGTTTCTCTGAAAGGTTCTCCATCCCCAGATACTCACACTTTGCAAAAATTGGTTCAGTGCGAAAACAAAAACATGGAAACATCATTGTGAACAAGAATTAGGTCAAAACCTACTATGTCTTAGTCTCATTAGTATGATTCTCTTCTGATTCTCTACCCATGCACATGCTTCATTTCCTCTGGTTGAACTTTTAGCTCTCCAAATCTCCATGCATCTCTTAAACTTACCCTGCCATTGACTAATCTTACATTTCAAAAACCTTATTATCAATTATAGTACCCTATCATCTTGAATTAACATTGAAATAGATCCAATTACCCAATTATCCCCATTATTTATAAACTGCTATTATGAGTAAAAACTACATTGTAATTCTTCATGTAATGCCCTAATATTATTAGTATTATTACTATCAGCCTATGTTTTTACCTACCATATTTGAAGTGTACTTGTTGATATTCCTTATCATTACCTACAATTTAGGATGAAACATTACCGGAGTTTGACCCTCTAATTTGTTTTCTTAGGAGGAATCAGCTACTCTTTGATTCTTATAACCGCTAGTGATCAAGGTTGCTCTTTAATATTTGAAAATACCGGAGTAAAATCCACCAATCACTAATCATCCATATACATGTCTCTCTGGAACACTCCATTACCAAGGCAATAAAAAATGATGGTGCTTTTGAGTACAGCATCTGTATTTATATACTGTAGATAGTTTTACAGTTGAACATGTTATTATGTTTATGCCTAGCAGTTATAGCCATGTTCCCTGTTTAGTGATGACATACTATAGGAGAGTACTCATAGTAAACTGACTAGAAATAATTCATGCGCCATCATCATGAGATGGACAGCCTGACACTAAAAGTCCTATTAGCTACAACATTAAATGATCCTTTGCATATTACTTACTCCAGGATTAAGATATTCTGAGGTCAACTAATTTAAAAATTAGACTGCCTCACGATTATGCTAGCTCCCTTTTCCTACCTAATATGTTGAATCTCAATGTGTGGCTTGAACGATTTTGCACTATTAAATGCTAAACAAGTACTTTGTCTAAATTATGAAACCACAGAAGTTTTGATCCATGATATATACCGATCACATAATTGCCTACTCATGTAATTCCCTTAGTAGGTCGCTCACAAAGTTCTCTCAATTTCTTCATTTCTTTCATTGGTGTGTGGTACAGAATTCTTTCAACACGTGGTATTCACCTATCAGAAGTTTCACTACTCTGTTTTATTAAAAGCATGGAGGGTGTGATTTCCAATCCTTTATAATTTCCGGATTTACTAATTAAATTGCTTCAATCGTGTCAAAGGCACTTTTTATCACTTAGAATATTAAAATCAGCCCTTTTTGGAGAACAAAGTCAATCAGAAAAACTCTAAAAGCATGAAAAAGTGTTTCCTATGTTCAGATGACTTAAAAGGAGCTCAAAGGAAATTCACCAAATTTAAATAAAAATTCATTATCCTAAAGAAAATAAGCCTGCAAATTAAAGCCACAGCAGCCAGCACCCTGAAAACAAGCCTAGGTAAAAGGCAGCCCCACCTCCAAGGGACACATACTCCTACTATTCTTATTACAATCTTTTTTCCATGCCCCTACTCTGTTTAGATGCAAAGCAAATTCTTTATCTGATGTGGTCAGCAAATGGGGTGTTTTGACTAATGTGTTGGACAAGGAAGACAGGAATTAAACCTTTTCTGACACCTATATGTGGCAAGCATGTTCAATTGGATTTTATATCATTTAGTTCTCACGATGTCCTGCAAGGTAGCTATTGTTATGCCCATTTTTCAGATGCAAAGACCAAGGGTGAGTGATGTTACAGAACTCTTCTGAAATCACTGGGCTAGCAAATGAAGAGCCATGATATACATCAAGTTGTTTGATTCCAAAGCCCCTACTTTTGCATTTACCATGTGGGATATGTGTGTCATACTATATACAAATTACTACTTTCCAGGGAATTAGAATATGATAAAAATGAATTTGGGTCATGAAAAATATAATTTATTCTCTTTGAAGATTCAAAAAGCATTTAAGAATTTTGTCATGCCTCAGGGTCATCATTAGAAACATTAGTCATCCTTTCATTATCAATATATCAGAAGTGCCTATTAACAGAGATTTATGGTTAATGGAATGACAAGGAACATATCTGCACGTGTGCCTGCTTTCTATGGTAACATGACAAATTTCAGACTTCCAAGACTATCTAAGTAACCATTTCATGATTATACATTAAAATATGATTTCTCATTAAGCATGATTGTACAGAGCTGTTTGCACATTGCCCTCACAGGAAGCCTTTAGTAATTACTCAATGTGCAGAGCATGATATGCCCATCATCATACTTGCCCTTTAAGCTCTGTGGCACATTAAGTCCAGGCTTAACATCTAAACCCCCAGAGAGCTACTGCTTTTAATCCCTAATTAGGAATGCTCTCAAGTAGTCCCCAACATCATCCAAAGGAAAGGATTGTTTCATTTGTTTTTCCAATTTGTCAGACTAATGATAACCCTAAATAAAGTCGCTTTCATTGCATTACCACCATAGGGCCAAATGCTGCTCAGCTCCTCTGATCCTGTTTTGGATTTTGGAAGAAATTTTTAATGACCGAAAGTTTTCCTGACCCGAAACATAAATTCTCTAACAATAGCCTGTCTAATCCTGGCTTGTGAGTTGAGGAAAGATTTGAAAAACAAGGCCCTCCCCGGGCTTCCTTAGCTCTTCACAGCATTTGGATGGCTGCCTGCTCTACCAGGCTGACCTTGGTTCTCCCCATCCCAAACCTGAATCCCAGTGGACATGGGATCCCATGCCAAATACCAAGTTTTAATAATCTGTTTCAGTGTCTTTGTATTTTTTCATTGCTATAGACTTAGAATGGGCAAGCTTACAAGACAGAAAAATAATAATGTGCAACCTATGTATATTCATAGTCTAAATGAATCTGGATCTATTGGTATTTTCTCCCCAAGTTCCATTTTAAATGATACAGCTACATATCATAGATAGAAAATCTTCCTCTTCAGATGACTTAGCTAAAACTATGATAAACAAACCCTTTCTGGTTTATAGGAACTTCCTAAAAGATCTCCTATTTGATATGTTGCAAAAACTAGGAAATATGCAACTGTTAATGTCAGAGAAGGAGAAAATCTGGGAAAAATCATATGGTCAGATTTATTGGTGGTCTAGGAGATGCAGAGAAAGCAAACAAACCTGAAAGTTTGCATAAACATGAAGCTCAGAATATATTTCAAAACTTTCAAGGGCTAGTGATATTTGGGAAGAAGACCAAAAATTTAGAAAATCAAGGTAGTTGTATTAGTTTGCTAAGGTTGCCATGTAACAAAGTAAAACAGATTGGGTGGCTTAAAGAATGGAAATTTATTTTCTCACAGCTCTAAAAGCTTAAGTCTGAAATCAAGATGTTGCAGAGTTGGTTTCTTCTGTGGCCTCTCTCCTTAACACAGGCCATCTTCATCCCTGTGTCTTTCCATGGTCTTCATCTGTGCGTATATGCGTCTGAATTCCCTCTTCTTATAAGGATACTAGTCATATTGGATTAGGGCCCATCCTAATGACCTCATTTTAATATAATTACCTCTTTAATGACCCTATCTCCAAATACGGTCACATACTAAAGTCCTAGGAGTTAGGATTTCAGCATAGGGATTTTGGGAGACACAACCCAGCCCTTAACAGAGAGGACATGAAAAATATAATCCCATTCCAAGACTGCCTGTGCCCTCAGATGATTTCTGTTATGAATGATGCAGAGCAAAGTGACCCATTGTGGAATGAGAGATCAGAACCTGAAGTATAGATACCAAAGATGTTGCCATGGTTACATGAACAAAGGCAATATTAAAAGCAGTCTGAGTAGATGGGGCAATAATTTAATCATGAAAACTTATAATAAAAATTGTGAGGTTTGATACAAATTTTATAGATTTTTAAAGAAAGAAAGCACATGTGATCTTCTATTCAAAATGCGGTTCTTATTGTTGAAATATACATTATAGATACTTCCATTCATTCATTTTATTCTGTCTATGTTTATTATTGACAGCCTACTACGTGTGGAGCTATAACCAAAGCCCAAATAATAGCCAGCGTTTTGTTTTCTGGTGAAGATACCAATTCAAAAGTGAGCCTTTTGGCAAGTCAGTGTTAAACCAGTTTGCCTTTTGTTTTCATTGTTTACTTCTTTTCATTTTTATCAAGAGTGGGCAACATAAGTTTTAGCCAGTTTCCAAATGAAACACGTGTAGGAAATAATTACATGAACATACGTATGCCATTGTTGTTCGCAGTTTGTTTAACTATGCATACCATAGTTAAAGCAAAGGTTTTCCTGCTGCTTCCATGTGTTTAGAATAGTAATTATTAATGGGTGTCCTTTCCTCGGTGGCAATATTTGGATTAGCAACAGTCACTATCAAGATCTGGAGCCCTCACTGGTGCCATAAAATTTATACTCAGATTGTGCCACTTAATGACTCTGAAGTTTCATATCCGACTTTTCCCTTAGTTCTAGATTTGAATAGCACTTCTAAGAAAATAACAAAAGGATGTCTGTAAATCAGTACATCCCCCTGAAGGAGTTTGTCTTTATACTACAAAGAAGTATGAAGAAGATAGTCATGACTAAATAAGGTCCTTCCAGGCTACCAACTGGCTGCTGGCAATTCCGCATCATAGGCTTTCAGGTAGTTAAATCCAATGTGCAAAATGTTATCTTAAAACACCAGAGCTTGTAGGAAAATTGTAAAACCCACAAAGGGAGAAATCACGATAATACATGATGTCTTGGTTCATTCTTAATGGACTCCTCTTACTCAAACAGACCATGTGACTTTAGAAAGTCTTTGTCTGCATTAAATTGCAGAATGGTTTCAACATACTACAGATGCCATGGTAAGCAAAGTGGACTTTTTTTTTTTTTTTCAAGCTGAAAACATGTAATTGTTGCCTAGTACAGAGATAAAAATTTGGCGGATGAAGTAACCCAAATTGACTTGTAAACTCTTGAAAACAAACAACTTTTCATTACATATCTCATTTCTCATCTTTAAGCTTTGGCAGTGAGCATTCTTTCTTTAGAGAGCTGGTTGGATGAAGAAAACTTTTACAGCTCCATTTCATGGAAACCATTGTTTGTGTTTCTGAGTCCAGTGAAAGTCAAAATTAGCAGGAGAGCAGGAAGAGTTCACATGCCAGTTCCAAAGATCCTCTAGAGATTATTAATCAGTTAGATGAGAGCACACTGCCTGTTCTCCATGGAACCTTTTTTCTTATAAGTGAAGCAAGTCTGGCAGTGTCGGCAAATGTCAATGCCATGCAGAGAGAATAGATAAATTTAGAACAAATTATTTCCCAGTTAAATAGGGACCAACAGTGAGTTTATAATAAAACAATTTGCACACAGTCCAGAATATGACAATGGTAATTGTTCTTATGCTGAAAACAAATCTCTACTGATGTATGCTTGTGGCAAAGCAGAGCATGTCCTTCCCACATCTATATTCAGGACCAGGAAGGCCATTCAGTATTTGTAACACTTGCCCAGCTTAGACAAGATCATAACACACTGGGAGGCATGATGACACACAAGAGTTTTCAAGCCCTTATTTTGAGCTGGAAATATAGTATTCAATACCAGACATTTGAGAGCAGGAAAAGAATGGAATATCCTTTCATCTTCAGCTGGTGGTTGATGTTCTTATTATCCGGAACTTTTGAAGATGTTTTAATCCTGCCAGAGCACTGACTCTCAACCTGGCTGCACAATGAAGCTAACTGAGGAGCTTTAATAAACTGATATCTGGAACCCACCTCCAGAGACTCTGATTTAAGTGATTTAGGGTGTGGCCAGGCATTGGAATTTTTAAAAGCTCCCCCAGGTGATTCTAAAGAGCAGATATGGTTCAGAAATTCTGTTGGAAAAAAAAAAAGGAAATTATCAGATGACATTTTGTCCTTTATAGCTATGAAAGTTAAATCTACCTAAATAGTTCATATCCCATTTTTACTAGCATCGTAACAAGCATCCAAATCATCAGAGAAAATATGAATAATATAATATCTGAACCAGAAGGGATCCAAGAGATAATATAGCCCACAGATTCTCCAGTCAGGGGTTCTTGGGTTCCTGGGAGTCCTTTAAGTAGTATGTAGTCCTTAAGTAATATGTCAACTCCTTAAAATTGTAGCTATGGACATTTTTTTGAGAAGAGTATCCATAGATTCCATCAGCTTCTAAAAGGAGGCTCTGGTTCCAAAAAGGTCAAGAACCATTTATGTAGGCTAAATCCCTCAATTTGCAGACAATGAAACTGAAGACGAACATGAAAACAGAAAAGAATATCTTCTTCATCACCCCTCCAAGACATCTCAGAACCAAGCCCATGACAGCCCATATGTTTTTGCACAAAACCGATTAAAATCCCAAACCAAAATATGGACCCCCCACAAACAGACTGACGTTTTGACTAAATGAAGATTTCGACCAGGTGGCTGAAGTGTCCAGAACCACACAAGTGGCAATATTTTTGAAGACTTTGTTAAACTTCATAGAATGGGGCCCCTGGCTACGAAATCCCCTCAAGGATTTCTCAGACGAAATATGAAGTCAGGAAGTGACCAAATGTTAGCCAAGTCCAAGCAGAGATGATGTAGTGCCCCCAATGTAGTGTTGTAACCTCAATTTTATTTCTCCAAAGTTTGTATCATGTTTAATTTATACTGTTTCATAACCTTAATAAAATGTGGTTTCTATGTATATTCATTGATGATGACCTCATTTGAGTCCACAGCCATTCATGAGAAAAAGATTCTTCTCTAAGAGAGGTTACAGATATGTCTGCTTGTCACTTACATAACACATTACAACTTTGGGTGGTAAAGACTAGAGGCTTTCTCTATAGCAAAAACCCAGCTCCAGGCAGAGTCACCATAGAAGGTAGAATTTTATATGATATTTTCTGTCTTTAGCTGTTGTTGAGACTATTGGGAATTACTCTAATATCTAATTTCTTCAATTTTCTAATTGTGGCATATGCTGGAGTTCACTCTGGTAAAATATACATAATATTAAATACATAACATTAAAACTATTCTTCACTTAGTATCGATAAATCTATCAGGTGAAACAGGTATAAGTTACTAAGTTTGAAGGTTGGAGTCAAACCTGTGTCCACCTGACTCCTATAGATATTTTGATATAGTTATGACTATGATACACTACAATGAACATGGGCTTGGGGATCATACTTATGTTTAAATCTCAGTCCTACTGTGGGGCGCCTGGGTGGCTCAGTCAGTTAAGCATCAGACTCTTGGTTTCAGCTCAGGTCATGATCTTATGGTTGTGAGATCGAGCCCTGTGTTGGGCTCCATGCTGAGCGGAGAGTCTGCTTCAGATTCTCTCTCTCCCTCTGCCCCTCCCCCCGGCTCGAAGTCTCTCTCTCTCTCTCTCTCTCTCTCTCTCATAAAATAAATAAATAAAATCTTTAAAAAAATAAATCTCAGTCCTACTCTTTATTGGCTGTGCAACCCTAGGCAAAGTACTGAGCCTATGAGACTCAATTCTGTTTCTATAAAATCGGATTAATTTTACCTCCATCAGAGGGTTGATATCAGGTAGAGGCACTACCTAATATAGCGCCTTGAATATTTTAGATACTCAGATGTGATTCACCTTTTCCCACTACCTTCTAAAGCTCACATTCTTTCCACCAAACCAAGGGACTTTTCTGAAATTTTCCTTTTCTTCTTCCTCACCGCTAACTAAAACTGGGTATTTTTTTCATTGCTAAATCATGGCAGCCTCACTTAAATGGTCTTTGATTTGTTGATTGTCTTTTAGACAGACTTTACATTTATCCACTGAAGCTTTTAGAATACAAAGCAGAAAACATTGCATTAATGAATAAAAGATGTTGAATACTGTTATTCCCATGTGCTTTGCATTCTCACTCCAATTGCAAAAATTAATATCACGAATTGAAAAAAGGAAAGGAGAAAAGAAAAAAGAGCCAAACCTAAGGGGAAAAAATAGGAGAAATTTAGGAGAGAAAGAGGCATTTTGGCACCTAGTCATAATCCTGGGCTAAGATTTATTTACAAAATGGTACCCAGTTTATTCACGCATTCATTAAGTATTCTCTGGAGAAAGCAAGTATTGAATGGAAGACTAAAGAATCGGAAGATGTCAATTGGTGAAGCAAGGGTAGGAAAAGGAGCTCTGCTAAGGGGATAGCATCCTAGGGTTGAGACTTGCTCAAGGAGCATTAAAGAAACTAATGTCTACCAGATGATGTTTTAGAGTCTTATGAGATAAAGTAGTAAAGGACTTCAATGTCATGACCATGTCATGTAGCCCTTGGACATTTTCTAAACTTAGTAAGCATATATAGTGACATAGGAAGAAATAATAATAGAAACAAAATGCTTCCGAAGTTCCCTAAGAGGGACGCCTGGGTGGTTCAGTCAGTTAAATGTCTGCCTTCGGCTCAGGTCATGATCCCAGGGTCCTGGGATCAAGTCTCGCATTGGGCTCCTTGCTCAGTGGGAAGCCTGCTTCTCCCTCTGCCTGCCACTCACCCTGCTTGTGATCTCTCTCTCTCTCTCTGACAAATAAATATAGAATCTTTTTAAAAAAAAGAAGTTCCTTAAGAACCTACAGAAAGTCTAAATAAAGAAAAATCTAAAATAGACCCATTTTAAGTTTTCCTCTGCTTTTTCACATGTAGTCATTTCCCAATAATTTACAAAATGCTTTAGAATTTCAAACAAACCTCAGACTACACATAAAAAGAAGAGACAAGCCTATATTTCAGTTTGGTGATTCCAGAATGGATGAGCAATTAGTGTTCAGCACTTGACTGTTAAAGTCACTTGGATGTATTTCTCTCATCTTTTAATTTATCCATCATTTTTAAAGCAGGAGACTCAAAATTGTTTGCCAAAGCACACAGGAATTTTTTTTTTCTAATTTTACATTGTTCCACCTGGCAAAAAGAGAAATTGCTTATCGACTACATTATCCAGAGCTCTTAAGGACCGGTCATACCTTCCCAGGGATCCCCATCCCTGAATGTCCCACACTCGTAATTCTCTAGGCTGGAGACAGGCTTAGTCAGGCCTCCGAATACTGTCAGTGCCTAGAATACTGTTGAAGGCTCATTTAAACTTATATAATAAGACTTCACATGAATGATTCTCTGTCTGAGAAAAAAAGGAACTAAACGTCATCTTCCTCTCTGACTCAAGCCTAGGGTTGGCCGCCAAGGGAAACGGGCCCTCCTCGGTTCCCCTTGGAACTCTATGTAAACAGCTTGAAGCCAAGGGAAATCACCTAACCCTAGCTAGTAAGATCAAGGGTTATGTCCCTCCTCCGGGAATGCTAGCCTGCTCTGGCTATGACCAAATACAGAGGGAAAGGTCCAATATTATTATATGAATGTCTACTTCCTCCTTGTAGGTGGCAAAAATCAGGGGAGCAGGAACTAACTAACTAACCTAATATAACAAATAAGTAAATAAATAAATGCAAGAGTGAATGAGCAGAAACAATGTTAAATATGAAGGGAAGGGAGCCAATGAGGAGAGGGAATAAGGGATGAAAACCACATGCTACTAGAAAGGGAACAGAAAGCTGAGATAGACATAGTGATGCTTCCAGCAGCATCAGGCACTACTACCTCCGCTCTCCTACTTAAACTACCATGGGCACCTTTGCACAAGTTGCTATCTCCTTCCAAAGTTGAGCACAATTTATCTTAAAGGCATCTTACTGGTTAATACAGCTTTACAATAAACTCTCCGCAAAGTATAAAGAACTGAAGAAATAAACTGAAGTGGCTTTTAGTGGTGGCTGGGGGTACCAGATGGACAGCTTTGCAAATGGATGGCTTCTGCTTCTCCTAAGAATAGATACAGCCTGATAAACAGAAGTGTAAGATTTCCCCAACTGCTACACCAGGATGCCTTCACCCTGACAAAGTAATGGCTGCGAGAAAGAAAGAACAAGTCACCTTTCCCAGCCAGTTCTCTGCTGACACTGCTCAAGAACTGCCATTCAGCACCACGGTGATAGGAGCGTTTTCCTTCCTACCCGCCAAACAGAGGCACCCCTGGCTTATTTCACTTGGAACAGAGAACAGTCAAATCAGATAGCAATAATTTTTGACCACCCTCAGCTCCACCGGATTCAAAGCGCTGAACTTAAAGTGAAAACCAACTTGAGTTTCCCATTACAATTTCCCATAGCCATCTAGTCCTCTAACGGTCCCCAGCACTAAATCAGGTAATGCAGGATAGTGTAGCTATTTTATCTGGTTCTCCCAAAGATATTTGAAATGAGTACTCTGCCATCCATGAAATCAAATGAATCTCAGGGACATTTCTATTTATGCAGTGTGAGGGGGATCTTTCAAAAGAGAAAGGAAAAGCATAAAAAGGATGGAATGTTTCCAGGAGAACAAGTAATGTACATTTCCCTTTCGGAAAGAAAAGCAGCAAATACGTATGAAAAATTGAGGGACATAAGTTAATGTGGAGTCTTCACATCATTTATTTATGTACTGAACTTAAGAACCACTAAAGTCATCTTCATCACATAACCTTAAAATGAGCAGAGACCAATATAACACGGCTATCAGATTACAGTCGGTAGATGTTAGAAAACATACGCTTTGTTTATCTTACACTTTCCTAAACAATCGTGCACAGCTTTCTTTTGTTCCAGGAGTCATTCAAGCATATAATAAGAGTTCCAGCAAGTTGAAACCTCTTGTATCTGGTTATTTTCAGGCAGTTGTAAACTTGCTGCCTCCAAGCCAGTAGTTTTCTTACGTTGTCAGCAAGGATTTAAAAAAATGCCATCATCCCAATTCTTGTTAGTAAAAGAGCTGCTCTATCTTCAGTCCCTTCCATTAACCCTCATTAACAGTTTGCACTTACTTTTAAAATAATTTTAAACATTCTGATGCTTTCAAGGTAAAAAGCACTTATGCTGCAGTGTGCAGCTCTCACTTCTTGCTCCCTTAGCTATTATAATTTCTCACCCTGGGTTTTTTTTTTTTTTTTTTTTGTACCTTGAAGCAATTCTCCTACCATCAGCCTGATGAACCCACAACTGGCTTTCCCATGAATTTAAAACTTTGCCTCGTCTTTGCTCTTCTGTTCATTCATTCATTCATTCTTTCACATAACAGACATTTCCATAACATCTCCTCCTGTCTTCACTTGTCCTACATACATGTTGGATCAAATTCAAGATAAAATAGTATGTGATTGAGCCATAAAAAAAAATATTACGTGATTGAAAAGGCACTAGAACAGAAATCCTGGATCCTTCTGTCAGCTCTGTCATCCATCAAGTATGTGACCTTGAGCAAGTCACTTCCCCTATATACACCTCTGTTAATAGGGGCTGGGCTATGTCATATCTAAAATCACTTACAGCTTTGAAATTCTACTATATCATTGTCACCCCAGTATTAGTGCAAACAGATAAATCCATACCATGATATTAGTAACTTTGAGATACCAATTTCAAGATATTTACATTTTTCAGTGGTTGAATACAAGGGCTTTCCTAAAAGGAAGTAAGGAAATTCTGACTTTGGTATTTGGGGTATGTTAATGAGCTGAGGAAAGAGTACTTGAGGACAGAGTGTTCAAATTCCATTTAGGAGACTAGTCTTGACTATTAGTCTACTTGCTATCTGCAATTCATCTCCTGCCATTCTCCCTTAACCCTTCACTTCCACACATCCCATGACTGCTCTCATCAGTGTTACCAAATGACTTTCACAGGGTTAGATCCATGAGTCGACTGTTACTCCTCATCCGACTTGACTCATCGTCATCATTTGACATATTTGATGACTCCCTCCTTAAAACACTTTCTCTATTGGACATCTATGACTCACCCACCTCTCTCCCTACTGCATGGGTCACTCCTCATTTTTCTTTGCTGATTTCTCTTCTGCACTCCAAGCCCCTAATGTTGGAGTGCTCCCAGCACTGAGGTGTTGGTCTTCTTTTCCGTGTGCACTCACTCCCTTGGTGATCTTATCTAATCCCTTGGTTTTAAACTCTATCTATATGCCAAAAACCCCAAATCTGTAACCAAGACCTCTTTCCTGAACTCCAGATTGGTATATGCAGATGGCTAATAGACTTCTAAAAAGAAGTATTCCTGATGTTCTTGCCCAAACCTCATCCTGACAGTCCAGTTGATGGAAGCTCCATCTTTTCAGATGCTCTGTCAAAAAAGTCTTTGGGGCATTTTAGTCCCTTTATTTCTCTCATACCCTACATCTAATCCATTGGGATACTGACTCTAGTTTAAAAATGTGTCAGAATTAAATTACTTCTTACCTCTACTGCCATCTCCCTCCTGGAGCTGCAATAGCTACTTAACAGGCCTCCTTCTAGGCTTATCCCTTAGAACCTGTTCTCAACACAGATGTCAGAATGGTCTTTTGAAACACTAATTCAAACCCTCCATTGGCTCAGCAACGTCTTCACAATGGCCTACAAGCCCTACCTCCTCTGGCCCTCCATAGCCCCTCTGATTTCACCTCCTATTGCTTCCTCCCCTTGCTCACTCCACTACAGTCAAGCAGCCCTTCTCACATCACACACGACAGGAGTAGCCTTGGTTCTTGCTCTTCTGCTTACACACATCTGCACAACCAATTTTCTCACCTCCTTCAAGTCTTTGCTCCCTTCTCACCTTCTCAATGAACCTTGACCATCCTACTCTAGCAGGCACTCCTAATCTCCCTTATCTGGATCTACCTTTTCTTTTTCCATAGCACTTCCCACCTTCCCATGCCTATACAATTTACGTATCATATTTTTTGTTCATTTTCTGTCCTCCCAAGCTAGAATGTAAGCCATGGGAGGACAGGGATCCTTTCCTGGTTGTTCATCCATGTACATGGACACTTTTCCCTACTTTTCCATCTCCATAAATACAAGAAAAAATGTTATTTCAACTAACTTCTTTGATGTCACCCTCTACCTGCTTCCAATCATGTTAACCTTCTCAAAGTTGAAGGCCTTCACTTGTTCAGATATTTTCATCAACTCAAGTACCTGGAATTGTCTCAGGCACCTCGTAAGTGTTTTATATTCATCAAATAAATGTTTAATCAATAGATCACTGAGGGATGGGCGAGTAGAGAAGAGTGGTCCTATAATTATCAGATTATAGCCAACATCACGAGAAGCTATATATGAAATAATAAGCTTAATACAGCTTCATCTTAATTATCCAATCAAAGCCCAATCCTGCTGTCCCTACTTTATCATTTGATAACCCTGATGGATGGACAGTGTTTGGAGTTCACTTCTCACTGTGGAGACCCTTGCTCTTCGCCCATCAGAATTCTCAGAACAAATTATAACCTTGGGCTAAAGAAACATGAAGAGTTCTGTATTCATCCTGGCAGACTTAGAATAGAGCCTATAAAATAACTACTTTATATCTACTGTAAGAAATATAAAAGAGAGGAGTAGTAATTAACAGGTATTGAGATCTAAGCCTGTGACAGACATTATCTTAAGGTTTCACAAGTATAAACTTATTTCTTCCTTGCAATAATCCCTACCTCCTGACTTCACACCTCTCTCCCCATTATTGGATGTGATCCATCTGGACAACAATCACAAAGTAACAAAAGTGCAATGGGTCAGAAGGGAAGATACAAAGCTAAAGAAATAGACCATGGCCTTTAATACTTCTAAAGAAAAATGTTATCTGTTAAGCACAGCTGCCATATCTCCGTGAAACCAGGTTGAGAAAATGTTTATGTTGACACATTGAAGGTCAAATATTCAAGGGTAATTAGATTTCTCCAAGGTGAATCATGGAGATGGCCTAGTTAGAAGTAGATACAGAACTTTCACTTTCCAGCCATAAATCAGCACTGACATACTAAAGCACATTTCTAAACATTTTTGCTTGTAGCTTCATCAATTATTTTACATATTTTCTGTTATTAGTCTTTTACAAATTTCATTAGGATCACAAAAAATTTACTAACTTACCTCTCCTCATCTCAGTATTCTTTCTTTCTTTTTTTTTTTTAATTTGAGAGAGAGAGCACCCATGAGTGGGGAGAAGGGCAGAGGGAGTGAATCCTCAAGCAGACACCCCCCCACACCAAGAGCAGAGCCTGACATGGGGCTCTATCTCATGACCCGTGAGATCACGGCCCAAGCGGAAACCAAGAGTCAGAGGCTTAACCGACTGAGCCACCTACATGCCCCTCAGTATTATTTCAAGTAGCTTTTTATTACCCTACTTTTCCATCTCCATAAACACAAGAAAAAAATGTTATTTCAACTAACTTCTTTGATGTCATCCTCTACCTGCTTTCAATCATGTTGATCTTCTCAAAGTTGAAGGCCTTCACTTGCTCAGATATTTTCATCAACTCATTCAGCATACATTTATTGAATTGCAGTGACAGCGCTGAGCACAAAGAGGCATAATCCACAGTCCCTCAATCAGAGAATGTAGTGTCTAATAGTAAAGGAGAAACCAATACACTGAAATAGCTTCCTATAAGAACCTCAGGGTCCATAAACAGAGGATTAGATAAATAAGACATTTATGTTCATGAAATGGAATACTACAATTTAAATTATTAGATTTAAATACATCAATATGGCTAGTTTTTAAAATACATTGAGTGAAAAAGCAAATTTTCAAAAGATATATGCAATAATCACATTATGTTCTTTAACAAACAGGTTACAAAATGACATTATGTATTGCTTACAAATATACAGTGTGTAACAAAAAATAAAAAACAGAGATTGAGAGGTTAGGTACCAAATTCAGATTAGTGGTTACCTCTGGAGAAAGAGGAGGTGAATGGGATTGGAAAATGTGTAATGTGAACCTCAACTTGATTAGTAAGATGCTATTTCTTTATTTAAAGAAAAATATTCTAAGCCAGGAATTTTAAATGGTAAATTTTGTTAGTTTGGGGTAGTAGAATATATGGTATTTTTCTATATTTTAATGATTTTTCCCAGCTATCTTCCAAATTTATAAATGAGAGAGAAGAGAGAAGGAAAGGTGTCACACTGAGAACACATTCACAATAAATAGGAAGTGACAAAGGCTGAAGAGAACATACCAGAGATACAAGCAAGTGTCAACAAGGGAGCAGCACTAAGAAGGGCTGTGAGGTTACAATGGGGAGAGACCAGTGGATGGGATTCCTAGAAGTGTTCCTAAAAATGCTAGACTGGAGTCAGGCTTAAAGAATGACCAAAAGTCATACAGACTGAAGTGAGCAAGAAAGTATTCCAAGAAGGAGGAATGGCAGAAGGAAAGGCAAAGCTACAGGACAGAACATGGAGCGTTCAGCAGAGACAGAGCCTCAGGAGACAGTCTTGAGCTTGAATTTTAACTCTGCTATTTACTTGCTTAGGGACCTTGGGAGGGTCACTTAATCTCTCCAAAACTGTTTCTTCAACTTGAACATGGGATAATAATATCTTCCTGGCTGCAGGATTGCACAGGCTAGAGAAAGTATATTCAAAGATGCCTGCATATAGTGATACAGTAATGCTCACAAATGAAGATTATGATTAATGATTATCGCATGGCACGAAGATTCAGGTCTCCTGTTTCCAGAGTCAGTGATCTTTTCATAACACCACATTGCTGATTTTGCAATTTAGCATTATCCTATAGTCATGTGGCCAAAACTTCCACGGTAATAAAGCAAGAGACCTCAGTGGAGTCCTGGACAGCTCACTGGATCTCAGTTATAAATTATGCCTCTTTAAAACAGCATGGAAGTTCCTCAAAAAATTAAAAATAGAACCACCATACGGTCCAGCAATTCCACTTCTGCGTATTTATCCAAAGAAAATCAAAACACTAACCAAGAAAGATACATGCACCCTCATGTTCACTGCAGCATTATTTATAATAGCCAAGACATAGAAACAATCTGAGTGTCCATCGATGGATGAACGGGTAAAGAAAAATGCAGTGTATATATAGTTGACCCTTGAACAACACAGGTTTGAAATGATTGGGTCCACTTATACACAGGTTTTTTTCAATAAATACAATAGTACAGTACTGTAAATATATTTTCTCTTCCTTATGATTCTCAATAACTTTTTTCTTTTCTTTTTCTCACTTTATTGTAAGAATACAGTATATAATAATTTAACATACAAAAATATGTGTTAATTGACTGCTTATGTTATTAGTAAGGCTTCCAGTCAATAGTAGGCTATTAGTAGTTCAGTTTTTAGGGAATCAAAAGCTATACATGGATTTTTAACTGCAGGAGGTGGGGGGGAGAGGGGTTAGTGCCCCTAACCTCCGCATTGCTCAAAGGTCAACTGTCTACATGGAATATTATTCAGCCACAAAAAAAGAATGAAATCTTGCCATTTGCAAACCAGATGGACCTTGAGGGCAGTATGCTAAGTGAAATAAGTCAAAGAAAGACAAATGCTATAGGATCTCCCTTATATGTGGAATCTAAAAGAACAACAATAACAAAAAATCCCAAAACCGCTCTTACATATACAGAGAACAGATTGGTGGTTACCAGAGGCAGGGATGGAGTGTAGAAGGTGGGCAAAATGGGTGAAAGGAGTCAAAAGGTACAAACTTCCAGTTGTAAAATAAATAAATCTTGGGAAATAACGTACAGCATGGTGACCATGGCTAATAATATTGTATTGCATATTTGAAAGTTGCTAAGAAAATACATTTTAGAAGTTCTCATCACAAGAAAAAATTCTATAACTATGTATGGTAATGGATGTTAACTAGACTTAGTGTGGTGATCATTTTGCAAATTTTACAAATATTGTCATACATCTGAGACAAATACAATGTTGTATGTCAATTATACCTCAATTAAGAAAAATGTCTCTTTTTGGTGTGCAAAAGAGCCCCAGATTCTACCTCTCACTCCATGTTGTTGGTGTTTCTCTGGAACATTTCTAACTATTTTGTCTGTCCTATATATGACCTTAAAGCAGTCAAAAGTAGAACTCTTGGTCAATTACCTTCCCAATTGTTGAGTCAGCTGCTGGCTAAAATTTTGAATACCAAACTTGTGTCAGCCAGGAAGTTAAAATAGGAGGTTATATGTTTAAGACCTTGAGGTCCCTGGTCTTCAAGGTTTACCAAAAAACCAAGTGCACAGGACTTTGGTCACGTTGCTGTTATTGATAAAGCATTCACAGATTTGTTCAATGGACTCTAACATATTTTTCATTTTATTTAAGCTGTAATGCTTGTTATGAAAGCAAGTTTAAAGAGCATTAAAAAAAAAACTTCATAAGACTTACACAATGCTGTGTTATATGAATGGTATATTTTACTCTGAAAGTCCCCAGGCCTCTTTTATCTTACCCAGTATCAGCAAAGGGAGGCTCCATCCACACAATTCCCAAGCACACCTCACTCCAAAGCAGACTGATGGTCCCTTGCCACTCTACTGAGCCAGCTGCAGCATGAGCTAAGGCCAAATCTGGGCAATTGAATTATTTTTCTCAGTGAGGTTTTAGCAACCATTAGCACTATCCCAGGAAGTTGTCCTTTCTTGGAGATAAATTGCCATAGGAAGCTATGTTTTCTCTTTTAGCACATACTTCCAAATTTCATTGCTCTGCATGGTGGGGAAGAAGCATATGTTGCTTCTCAACACCACTCACTTCAAACAACTGAGAAACACAGGGTTGTTTAGGCCACAGGAGCAATGGACACACACCATCCAGAAATCTCCTTTTGTCTGACAAAATGCCACAGACTTGCATTGATAACATGCTATTTTTGTTCACCATCAATCCACTACAGCTGCCACCACCCTTTCCAAAACAATAGCCGAACTTTCAAAAATCTTCACCAACCTCCTACCCTTTTCCTATACCTTTTCTTTCATCTCCCAAAGAATAAAGAAACAGTTCTGTGATTTTATCAGGGCTAGTTAACTTAATTAAAGGCACTAACTTGGTCACGTTGTATTTGGTTGCAGTGATGTTGTCACAGAGAGGATTTAAAATAACCTAAGATGCTATCTCAGCCCTTGACAAAAACCCACACCAAACCACAGCCGGGATTGGTTCTAGTGGTTGACATTTGGGGCTATCTTCTAGACAAGGAAGCCAGAAAGAGGATGGGCCAAGCATCAACAATCCTTTTAATCCAATGTCCTTCCACAGTAATGGGGAGCAGAATATGCCACCCCAAAATATGCTTCTTTTGCATAGGATTACTTTGAGCTGAAGGCAACTGAGAAGAAACAGATATAAGAAAACTTCTCTGACCTCCCCCCTATAAAGGCAAGATACGGATTTGTAAAGGGGTTCACCTCTTACCAGGAAGGACAGACATAACTAAAGACAACTCTAGACCCTTATTAGCCCAGAGAGGGCACCAGAGGATTCTATATAACAAACTCCACTCACTAGACCTTATCTGCCATTAGTTCCCCCATGTTAACCTTACCATAATTTGCCATCCTAGAAATCCAAAGTGCTTTTCCTTAGTCTTGTGCCTTCTCAAAAAATGTATTGTTCTTTTGTTAAGATGTTATATATGCCCAGGTTCTAACCACTCCTTCAACTTTCTTCAACCACTCCTTACTCATTACTGAGTATTCCCATGTGTACATAAGATGCACTTGTTAATAAACGCGTTTGGTTTTTTTCTTATTAATCTATCTTTTGTCAGTCTAATTTGCAAGGCCCCAGCCAATGAATCTAAGATGGGTAGAAGGCAAGAGAGTTATTTTCCTCCCCTACAAGAGCATACTAGAGGATAAGATGGGCTGATAAATTGCTTTTTTCTATCTGCTCTAAAGAGATTACCCATCGCTGGGATTGTTGGTCTAGTGTCTTCTATGATTATAAAACCTTCCAACAATTACAGGTAAGAGATAAATGAGGACAGAAAAAGCCATGATTTTCTTTCTATTTCTAATTTTGCAAACTTCTGAAATTAAAGGAATCTTTTCTCTTTCTTTAAGAGAAGCAGAGACCAGTAGGCACAGTACATCTGATGATGCTTTAAAGGTAACATTTTGGAGTTCATCCCCACGGACGGGGTAGGCAACAGCAGAGAAATCTATGTATGGGACTTCGATTAGCCATCACAGTTTTTCATTTTATTTTTTGATTAACTTTTCTCATGCATAGCTGAAAAAAAAAAACACTAAACAGAATGAACGGCAAGTTTTGTAATTAGACTAGATTGCCCAAGGCAAGAGAAAAAGAAAGACAAGCAAATCCTGTAATTCAGCTCCTAAGTAACATCCTCCACATGATAGGGTTTCTTCATACATTTTTTAATCAGGTTTTAAAGTTTTGCATGTATACACTGAAATGAGTGTTTCTTTTGGGAAAATGTATTAGTTTGCATCAAGGCTTTCATTTTCTCTTAAACACACCTTCTCCCCTGTATTGTAAAACATATAGTACATAAAGGTGTGTGGCAGCAGAGAGGAAAGGGAAAATATCATGAGAGAAACACATGAT